TTTGAATGAGCAACGACCGGCAGGAATGTCGACAAGACCATTCTACTGACTCCTTTTTTGCTTTGGCTCCCACCCATGGGTTGCATGTTGAGCCTTGTGTAAACCCAAACTGCACTGCGGGCCGCGTGTGGCCCACACATTGAGTAGCCCTGGGCTCGACCTCAAGGGCCGGCTGGTCCTAGTGTTCTCTGCCAGTTAGGCCTAATCCGCTAAGAAGTTGTTGCAGATGAGACTTCGCCCCCTACCTAACTCACACCCAGATCATTTCAAGCCAGAGCTGATCTTTTTCCCTGCCCTGGGCCCAGCAATGCTCTTCTACCCCTCTTGTGAGTTATTTTTTCAGGTGTTTTGTGTATCTTCTTAAGGTGGAGAGGCAGTTTCCAAAGCCAGCTGGAGGCTCTCTCTGTTTGGTGCCTATCTCTTAAATGGAATTTCCCTAGGGTGGGAAGTCTTTAGTCCCTGCTCCCCCTCTGAATGGAAAAATACCAAATGCAAGATGGCTTCCAGCACTGGGTGACGTGGTCACGGGTCTTTGTAGCACCAGCCCTAGTTCAGGCTTTTGGGAGAAACGACCATTCATAGATCGCTGTTGAGTTCCAGCCGGTTCCCATTTCCTATTTTGAGAGGTGCATACACCCCAGCAGAACCATGCGCCCCTCGAATGAGAGGTTACTTGTCCTATTTTGCATCAAACATACTCATATGTTAGTTGGGATTGGTCCTGCCTAGAGCGGGGGGCTGGACTTGATGCCTTCTGAGGTCTCTTCCAGCTCTGTGTTTCTATGATATGCAAAACTGTATTTCCATGCAAATGTGGGTGTGTAGGGTCGCAGAGGGGCCTCCAAGCAGGGGGTGTCCATCGTGCCCTTCTCTCACAGACTCCCCTGCCTTTCCTTATCTGCCAGGTTTGACACCTGCTACGAAGAAGAAGCCACCCAGCATGACATCTACAGCGGCTCAGTGCAGCCTGTCCTGCGCTACCTGCTGGAGGGGCAGAACGCCAGCGTGCTGGCCTATGGGCCCACAGGGGCTGGTGAGTGAGGGGGAGGCTGGACTGTGGGGTGATCCCAGACCGGGCAGGGAACTGATCTCTTCCTCCCACCCCAGGTAAGACGCACACCATGCTGGGCAGCCCGGAACAGCCGGGGGTGATCCCACGGGCACTGAGGGATGTCCTGCAGATGACACGCGAGGCAAGCTGCTCGCCTGAGGGGGAGGCGTGGGACTATTCTGTCTCCATGTCCTACCTGGAGATCTACCAGGAGAAGGCAAGTCTGGGGCAAGGGCAGCTAGGGCAGTTCTAGGGGAGGAAGGAATGCTCCAGCCAGCTGTGCAGTCCCAGGACAGGTACAAAGTAGGACGTGAAGGATAGTCGACTGGCCAGAGATGCGGATTTGACAGCCGCCCTAGGCAATTTGTTCCTTTGCTGTAAGGCACCAACTCAGTCACACCGAGCACCTCTGTTTGCCATGAAGGCCTGCCAGAAACCCCCCAAGGAGCCCCCTAGACACCCCAGTGCTCCCGTGCCCCACCCTGCCACACCTTACACCGGGGAAGGGCTATAACCCATCCCCCACCTCTGCTCACACACCCCAC